GTATAAGAGACAGGCCTGACACCTTGTCCCAGGTCTGCTGGATCAACTTCTTGTCATCGGCGGTCAGCATGGTGGCAGCTGGCAGTGGCGAGCAGGTCTTGGTGGCAGCTGGCAGTGGCAGACAGGTCTTGGTGGCAGCAGTACCCACGGGGACGCTCTCTTATAGCAGCCAGCACCTCCATCCCGGCCTTATCTTATCGTCTGTGCAGTGCCAGGCCCAGGGAGTGGCTGCTGTGTGGCCTTGGGGGGCCCCGACTGCCTCGGGGGGCCCAGCCCTGAGGAGGGCCCGAGGGGCCCGGCTGCCCTGCCCTGTCCCGCCCCACTTCACCAGCCCCACACCAGGCGGAGGGTGGGGGGCAGCACCCGGCTGGGCTGTCCCGTGGTCAACAGCAGCCACAGGCACGTCCTGGGGGTGCCACAGCCTCGGGCTCACCGCCCGGCGCGTCCTCAAGCCTCCTGTCGGGACCCACATTGCTCCACGGGTGTCAGAGCAGGTCCCACGCGTGTCCCTGGTCCCTCACGTCCTCCAGCCCCCGGCACATCCAGCCCCTCTCTGCCTGAAGAGCCCCTGGGTCTCTGAGCAGGAGCCATGGACAGGCTCTCCTGGGCTGTGCTGGGCATCTGCCATGAGAAACACCATCTCTCCAGCAGCCTGAAGAAATCTGGGTGGGGAAGAACCTCCTTTTCGGGCACATGGTCTTCCCAAAGTCCATCCCGGGATGCCTGTCAGGCCTGTGCTTCTTTCCCTTCCTCTCAGCCCAGCGTGTGCTCCTGCCTCTCCCCGCACACGCTGGGACGTCCTGCAGGGCGTAGGGTGGTTGGTGACTGTCACACACTTCGCTCAGCCTCTCCACAAAGCCGTTGGTACAAATTTGGGGTTAGGGATGCCCCAGATGCTGACCTACCTAAGTTGTGGACTTAAATGCTCAGGTTATCTGAGATCCACGAATGTAGAAAGTTTTTAAAACTGCTGTGGGACGATGTGTGACACGTTCAGGGCAATTTGGTGGCTTCAGAGCTTCCTCGCTGTCTCTCTCTCTCCTCCTTGACCAAACACAGTCCCAAAATTTTGTAAATAAGCTGAGGACCACAGCTTGCCATGCGAGTTCAGGCTGTCAATCAGAGTGTGCTTGAGACTCGGCACCAACCCTTTCTTGCCCGAAGTCCTCAGAGAGAGGCATGGGCAATGAATGCAACCTGATCATTCTTTTCACAGCAGTCCACGTGGTGCCGTGTTACAGGTTTTTGACCAAACCAGCCCTGATAACACGCTGATGTTCTGGTTTTGCTGAGCAGTGTTTGCACAGCATCAGGGCCATCTCTGCTTCTCAGTCTGGCCCCCCCCCCCTCCTCCTGAGAATAGATTTTGGGGTGTACGATATACAACTGGGCGGATAGCCCCAACTAACCATAGAGGTATTTCATACAATATAATGCCACGCTCAGCAATAAGAGGGGAAAGAGGGGGGTTCAGGGAGTTTTAGGAGGGTTATCCATCTTTCTTGATCAGGAACTGGCTGGGCATTGGTCTACCCATGGGAAGCAGTGAGGGATTGCCTTTGTATCACCTGTTTTGTTTTGCTTTCTTCCCTCTTCTTCCACTTACCAAACAATTATTTCTGTTTGTTTGTTTGATCTTGACTCCCAATTTTTCTTACTTTTATTCTTCCTTTCCTCTTCCCCTCATCCCAGTGAGGGGTGGGGGGGAGTGTGTGAATGTCTGTGTAGTGCTTAGCTGCTCAGGGGGATTAACCCACAGCAGGTATGTATGGAGGGTCCCTGCACTCCCCCCAGGGTGACCATCAGTGCTGAACTCTTCCCTGTCGCTGCCTTCCAGAGAAACCCTGGGAATTTGTGGTACCTCAGACACCATCAACACTGATCTCCAGTGGCCACCAGCATTCCCAAATTTCAAATGTATGTAAAGTTCCCTGCATAAAAATAAGAGATGTCAAACCGAGTGGATGGTTCCTGTACCACAACTGTCCGGCAGGTGTGACAGTCCAAGGTGTTAATGAAGCACATCAGATCCTCTGTCCGTACACCACGGAGAGGAGCATGAGAAGACAATGCCCGGCATTGCTCTGGGCACGTCACAACACCCAGCAACCACGGTTTTGTTCACGACAGGCCGTGACAGGTTTTGGATAGGCCGAACAAAAACTCTGGGTTCATTCAATATCCCGGCAGGGTAACAGACTGTTTCCTGGTCAGCCTGGAAACAGGCTTCAGCGGCTGATACCTTTGGTGAGCAGTAGCAGTCGTAGGGCTTTAGCCTGTTCTGGGCTTCTGCTCACTGTTACGTTATTCCCACTGAATTTACCCAGCTTCTCACATGAATTAATACACGAATTCATTAGTACCAGAATCAGTACATGAATTCACACGGCTTAGTGTTTTCTCCTCCATATTGCGTAGACATTTCAGAACACTCCTGCCTGAGCAGTAAACTGTAGGTGGAACACATGGAGATGAAAACGCAGAGACCACAGCTCACATTTGAAATATTTATTGGGTTTTGCAGGTGACAGAGCCCCTGCATAGGGGATTTGAGAGGACTGCATCGGAAGGGATCAATACCCCAGAGCCTGGCAGCTGGGATGTGCCATGGATGTGCATTCCTCACCCTCTGTGGGGGACATTTATCTGTACTTCTCAGTCAGAACAGAGGAAACACTGGACAGGAATTTGTCCCACGCAGCATGAGCTTCTGGGGTGAAGTCACTGGGATAGCGGGCAGCCACAGAGCACAGGATACAGTGGGAAAGCAGCTGTAAGGGAAAACAGGATGAAATCCATCATAACCAGTAACAGATGTCAGTCTAGGGGTCTGCAGCGGACCCTGGTCCCAGTGTTTTGGGGACGACAGCTCCATGTCCCAAGCAGGTAAGGCTGCTGCCTGGTGCTAATGGGAAGAAGCAGAGTTGCCTCTGGCATGGGGAAAAAGGCACTCCTTGATCCCACTCCCTCTTCCAAATGTCCCTTCCTTCCTCACCAAAGGGAAATGCAACAAGGTGGAAATGTTTAGAATTTACCAAGACTTTGTTCAAGACAGGTGATATAACCTGATGTGTGAGGGAGATTCATAAATTACAACAAAGGCAACAGAGACTCGAGTCCATCTAACACAACCCATAGGAACCCCCTGAGCAGTACTTTGCTTGAGCAAGACCAGATCTTTCATTAAATGATCCAATCTCAGGATAAAAATCAGGTGGGGAACAAGGTGTGACAGGAGTTGGTGAGGCTGTGCGGTGCAGCCAGGGACCAGCCCGCCATTAGCCAAAATTATCTGTGGTCTCTAATTCTGTGATGGCAGTTTTCATCCCTGAAAGTCGCTGTGCTCACTCACCCTGAAGTTCACTGGGTCCACCCTGAGGATGTAAGCATGCAGCTCACTGAGTTTGGCCAAAGCGCCTCTGATGTCATCGATGTGCTTCACAGCTTCCCCGATGGCATTCATGACCTTGGAGCCATGACCACGGAGCTGAGCCGAGCCTTGGCTGAGATCAAAGTGAGGGAAGTAGGTTTTGGTTTGAGGGTAGCTGGAGAAAAGCCTGGAGGAGAACATGAGAATGAGATTCAGCAGTGGAAATGGTAAAACCTCAGAGCCAGGGCAGTGTAAACCTGCCAGCTGCAGAAGGGCGCTCCTGCAGCAGCTGTAACAGAGCTTCGGGAGCCTGAGGAAAGCATCTGTCTGCTCTCAAACCTCCCCTGCACTATGTGCAGGTTAAAGACTGGGCTAACCTGTGTGTACTAGAGAAGAATGAAATGTTAAAAATAATGTTAAACTTAATGTATTTGAAAAAAAAAATCCCAAACCAATAGTCCCAAATTGTCACTACACTTCCCGTATTACATTGCAAAACCATGTTGCAGGACCTTCAACCTAGTCTGAGCTGAACAAACCAGAATGGATATGAGTGGTACTCGGAGTTTTGGAAGGAGTGTCGCAGTACTTTAAATTGAGCTTTGAACAACACTTAAATAACTTCGAATAACATCATAATTTCTGAACAGTTTCCAGACTATTATCCCTTTTGTGCCAGCTTGCTTCATTTGCATGAATTCTGGATTACTGTGCTTACTTCATGCAGGGGGTCCAGTTGTCTTGTTTCCTAACAGTTATTTATCAGCTGGAACAATGAAACATGAATATCCAGTGAAATTAGTGGATATCTGTTCTCTCAATGCCAGGAAACTGCAAGAGAAAGTGCATCACTTGTGCAATAAACCACCTCAAGTTCATTTCCTAACAGTGATAAGCCTGTTTCAGGACACTGAGTATGAAAAACTTCGAATTCCTCACCAGGGCTCCTGGCTGTGAATTCTTCTGAATTGCTGCAATGAAAAATAAACCTATAGAATTGCTTAGAAAATTATGTTTCGCTATGAGAGTTTGAAGCATTTACTAGCACGGATATAATTCCAGAAAATTGCATACCAAACCACATAGAGGTCATCCATCAACTCTCACCAATCCCTCGTGGGCTCTCACTCGTGCAAGTTTTACGTGAGATGCGTTCTAATAGCAAAGCCAGAGGAGGGACCCTCTTTGGGGGGGTTCTGGGGGACTTACCTCTCCAGTGATTCTGCCCCGATGGCATCGGCTTGGGTAGCCACCTTTGCCCAGATGGCGACCACGGCGGCCTTCTCGGCTTGAGTCAGCGTCATCGTGCGGGAGGGTGCAGGCTCGGGCTCCTTGCAACGAGTGCTCAGGGCAGGTTTGGACTCCTCGTCCTGACAGCCCTGGTTATAAAGGGGAAGGGGAGAGCGGACCCTGGCGCCTGTCCACGCTCATTGGTCACTCCCGAGGCCCACCCAGGGAGGGGGGAGACTCTTATCTCCCCGGGAAACGATGCCTACTTCGGCAAGGGTCAGTGCACTGCCCTCCTCGCTTGCTGGTGTTATCAGCTTCTTGTTTCTTAACATAATGGCCGTGTGGCCAGAAGAAATCGTGTGAACACATATTGATACATGAACGGAGAGATAATGCTGGAAAATTCCAGTCACGGAGCCTTAGGACACATCTTTAAGCTGAGGAGTGTGTGGACTCCAAGCAGGCTAAGGAGCTTGGAAAAAAAGTC